TGATTGTTCTTGAATGGCCCAGCCAGAGCCCTGACTTAAACCCAATTGAGCATCTCTGGAGAGACCTAAAAATGGCTGTCCACCAACGTTTACCATCCAACCGGACAGAACTGGAGAGGATCTGCAAGGAGGAATGGCAGAGGATCCCCAAATCCAGGTGTGAAAAACTTGTTGCATCTTTCCCAAAAAGACTCATGGCTGTATTAGATCAAAAGGGTGCTTCTACTAAATACTGAGCAAAGGGTCTGAATACTTAGGACCATGTGATATTTCAGTTTTTCTTTTTTAATAAATCTGCAAAAATGTCAACAATTCTGTGTTTTTCTGTCAATATGGGGTGCTGTGTGTACATTAATGAGGAAAAAAATTTACTTAAATGATTTTAGCAAATGGCTGCAATATAACAAAGAGTGAAAAATTTAAGGGGGTCTGAATACTTTCCGTACCCACTGTATATACACACACATAAAATACTATATATAGAGACAATAAAATATATATAAGAGAAAGTAATTAATTTAATTTTACATGTAGATAAACTAGCATAGAGAATCTATCTACCTATATATATATCTAGACAGAAAAGTTATACCTCAGATCTGTTGATATGTGTTTTTCTTCAAATGTTAGTATGTTGTCTTTAGAATGGTCACTGTTCATGGACACATGCCTGTGAAACAGTTTAATAAAAAAAATAAAAATAAAATAAAAGAGACAAACCGATATAGAGAGCAAACTTAAATTAATTTTACATGTAGATAAACCTAGCACAGATCATTCATACCTATCTATCTAGACAGAAAGATTGTACCTCAGATCAGTTGATGTGCGTTTCCCTTTAAATGTTACTATGTTGTCTTTAGAACAGTCACTCTGCATGGACACACGTTTGGAATCCAGTGAGTTTGATATCTGACTGTGGAACCAAAATTAATAGAACAAAGACAATAGAAAAGAGATAATAGAATAAAGACAAGAATGAGTTGATTTCACGTCATTTCATTCTTCTGTCTATACAAGAGAAGCTTTAGAAATGTTGAAGAATTATAACACTGCACAAGGATGATGTTACAGAAATAACAGCATCCTAACTCATAAGTAGGAATATGAGAAAAGCACTCAGAATATCTTATCATTAGCCTATGGCACAACTACCATATTATAAGACATACAATGTATCTTCTATAACATTATGATCATATAAAGATTTTGATGTACCTGCATCCTGGAGAAAAATCTCCTTCGCTGAATGTTTCTTTGTCCTCCATGATTCATTAAGTCTGAATGAAGCTGCACGTGTATGTCTGAC